AATAAAATCCCCAAATTACACCATTTACAAGAATCAGAAAGTGTAAAAACAGAGAATTTTCAGATTTGCATCAGTCCTTAAACTACTCATCTGGGAAAAATTAACCAAATCTGACCTAAAAATTATATTATTGCATCAACATCACTTTATTCTACAAATCTAGTTTAAAATATTTGCCAAAAATAAACCTTTTGCACAGGATCTTGTAAAATAAAAAAATTAAATTAAAAAAAAAATTTATCACAACTAAGAAGCCATAAAGGACTCAGCTGTGACCAAAAGTCATGTGACAGAAATTCTGGGAACTGCAGGCTGAACTGCAGTGAAGGAGATGGACGCCAATATAAAAACAAACCTGAGCAATAAACTAAGCACAGCATTGTTCAAAACAGCATATATATAGTGTGTGTGTGTTGGAAGGAGTGGTGGCTGGTCAGCAGTGGGAGGGTCCAGGGCGCAGTTCGGTAAGAAAATCTGCCAATCACAACCCGGCCCAAAGTCACATGATCAGTTTTTTTTAGCTACTTACATACTCATTGGGCCAGCGCCCGCATCCAGGAAGTGTAAAAATGAGTCTCTGAGCACGCAGTAAAGACTCATTTTACATCTCTTAATAATCCAAATATTGTTAATATGTCAAAATAATATAAATGTTATTATTAATTTTATTGTTGTTATTTATATTCAACAATTTCCCTGTGGTTTCCACCAAATGGATCAATAATGTTCTACTCTGTTCAATTCTTCTTCTATTTTGTTAGAATTCATTCAGATTTAATATTATGTTTGAGAACTACCTCTTATCTGGTAATTAGTTTGGATGTGCTCCTGCGTCCCGTATTGACCGGCCGCTAATGGTTGGAAGACACATTCAGCATGGTGAAACATGTCTCTAGAGTTTGTAGAGGTTGTGTAAATGTAGGCAGGAAATATCTATTAGAGATATTAGTAGAGTCACTAGTTTTTNATTTGCTGCTCTATTTAATTGTCAATCAACTTAAAGTGCACAGGATGCAGGTCCCGTATTTGTCATAAATTCAAGTATTGGATTAAAAGAAAATAAGAAAAAGTCAGTGGGTCATCAAATTTAGTGCAATTCATCCTCTGGGGATCATGAATGTCTGTTTAAAAAAATTGAAAATGTCTAGTAGTTCATATTTTAAGATATTTTAATCAAAATCAACCCATAGAACTATAATGAACCAAAGTATTGGACAAAAAAAGTCTGACCAAGTCAAAGGGTCACCAAAGCCAGTAGGATTAATCCTCTGGGGATCATAAATGTCTGCGAAGAAAATTGAAAGAAATTATTTTAATATTTGAAGATATTTTAGCGTAATCAACCAGCAGACCCATGAATCATCATGAACCAAAGTACTGGACAAAAAGCAATACGATGAAGTCAGTGGGTCATCAAATTTAGCTCAATTCATCCTCTGGGGATCATGAATGTCTGTTTAAAAAAGTAAAAAATGTCTGAGTAGTTTATGTTTTATCAAAATCAACCCACAGAACTATGATGAACCAAAGAACTGGAAAAAAAAAAAAGTTTGACCAAGTCAAAGGGTCACCAAAGCCAGTAGGATTTATCCTCTGGGATCATGAATGTCTGTTTAAAAAATTTAAAAATGTCTTGGTAGTTCATATTTTATCAAAATCAACCCACAGAACTATGATGAACCAAAGCATTGGACAAAAACAAAGTTTGACCAAGTCTAAGGGTCACCAAAGCCAGTAGGATTCATCCTCTGGGATCATGAATGTCCGCTAAGAAAATAGAAAGAAATTATTTTAATATTTGAAGCTATTTTATCATAAGTGACTGGCAGAACCATGAATCATTATGAAGAACAGTACTGCACAAAAAGAAATATAATAAAGTGAGTGGGTCATCAAATTTAGTGCAATTCATCCTCTGGGGATCATGAATGTCTGTTTAATAAAGTAAAAAAAATGTCTTAGTAGTTCATATTTTATCAAAATCAACCCATAGAACTATAATGAACCAAAGAACTGGAAAAAAAACCAAAGTCTGACCAAGTCAAAGGGTCAAAGCCAGTAGGATTCATCCTCTGGGGATCATAATGTCTCCTAAGAAAAAACAAAAACATTTTCTATACTCCATATTGTATTTTTTTATTATTATTAGTATTTAGAAATAAATCAAAACCAACCCACATGACCCATCACATACAAAAGTGTTGGACTAAAAGACATCGAATCAAGTCAGTG